GAAATCGGCCGTCGTATGCCTCATATAATAATATTATATAGATACTAACTGACCCCGTGCTCTTCTTTTCCAGTAAAAAATGTCAAATCTTACATTATTCAATTCGTTATTTTGTATTCTGTAGAATGATGTTCAATAATTAAAAGAAAAAAGAAAAAGAAAACATTCCATTTTAAATTAGCGGATGGTAATAATTAATAAGTAACTTGTTTTCTTACGAGTAACCAATAATTGCTGGGCAGAAATAAATAAATATACGATTATGATTTCAATCCAGGCGATAATGGGCTAAAATGAATATGATATCCAATCATAATCAAATTAATCACATCAGTAATAATTTTATTTCATGTAACCAGTGGCCAAATGTATTCAAAAATTTACAAAATTTCGATTTTCAGTGTATTTCTCAAAATCCTTGTGTGACTGTGAGAGTGTGAGCATCTCTTTAAAATGCGAAATCCTGTCTGTCTCAGTGCACTACTACAGTACTACATGGTGGTATACGGAGGTACTGTCAAAATATCAAGTCCCTATAACAATTGTCATAATAGATATTATGCTCTACTTTGATCAGTCAGTCTTTTTAGATTTATATAGTTAGTCTTTTTTATCAGGGCTCTTTCGCTATACTATATTCCAACGATATCATCATCATAATGACATAATATAATATATGTTCGTCGAATATACCTATACTTAACGATCTGATCGAAGAAGATATAATACATGCACATAATAATTATTGTATACCTAATAATAATAAGCAATACACGAGCTCAGTGTACATGCAAAACTTTAGCTCGATTGCATTGTAAATCGTAATAATTATACACTTCAAATTATATCGTATATCCATAATATGTGTATAGTAACTAGTAAGTAGTAACTAACTATAAGTTGTAGGTTTACGACGTGTATTATAATGCGGTATATAGTTACGAGTTTCGAACGACGGTGAAATTCGCGCAAATAATATATTATACGCTATTGCTATAATATACCTAATAATAATCACAATATTATCATAATAATATACTGCAGGTGTACAAGGTGTAATAATACGGTTTGACCTTCGCCTTATTACCTGGCTATATTATAATATTATTATATTACGCTTTTAAACCGCGGCACCGCTATACGCTATACGCTATACTGTTACCGTCAGTGGTATAGCAGTCGGTAGGTAGGTAGGTACTAGGTATACACCCCGTACCGATTGACAGCTCGTACGTATAACATATTATACCTGTTTTAACGAGATTCTGGTTAGACGAATTTGATTTATCCGCATAGGCCGGGGGGCCGGCGGTCAGCATCACCGCCGTCGGTCGTCGGCTTTCCGACGCACAAACGAGCCGACGATCGCGATTCAACATAATTATGCTGTGCCATACATATATATACGTATACACATATACGGCTATCAATTACAACCGTATAGTGGTAGGTACCACATCATATACGGTGGCTTTATGTATAATATATGTTCTAGGTGCACGCAGGCGCACCCGCAGAGATTAAAATATATGACGTGACGGCGATGTAGGGAAGCGGGCAGCGGCACACGCTAGCCGTTAACGGATATGTGCCGTGGCGGATTAATTATATTATTATTATTATTATTATTATTATTATTATGAGCACGAGTCGTCACGTACACAATAATAATACAATAAAAACATATGTAAAGGACCAAATTCCGGATTGAGAGCTCGTCCTGTATAATATGCAATAATAATAATAAAATATTATAATACGTATGAGTAACGTCGTAACAGAATAGTTTATAATATCCATCTATATATATATATTTAGATACACGTTGTACACGTTTATAGAATGTACCCCCGAGTCCCGCGACAAAGGACAACAATCCCAAGAGTAGTTGGCTACTGTTGTAGGTGTGCACTGCCCAAAATTTGTCAGTTTTGAGTAGTGCATCAAATCGAAAGTAGCGGGGAAACGATTGATGAAGTTGTTTTTTTAACTCAAAAAGTACATTAAAATGTTTTGAAAAAACGAGTAGTTTTTCCAAGTCGTTTTAATGTATTTCACGTATTTCATTCATCTATTTTTCATAAAAAGGGACCATTTTCTCATGTTATAACTATTATGATAATACAATCCAAACTATACTTAAACGTACTTAATTTTAAAGAATTGGATAAAATTAAAATAATGTGATCTGGCAGACGAGTTGTTATAACTTGTTTATCTTAGGTACTAATTTATGAGACAGCACAAGTGTAAACAAATATTGTGGAAACAGAAGATAAAGTTAATTCAATTATAAATTATTTTATAATGATTTGGTTAGGTTAGTGACAACTGACAAGTCGGTTTTTTAATAGACATTTTAGAGTTTGTTAATTTTCGCCATGTATTATTGGAAGAATTTTTAAAGTCATTTAAAGAGAAGATATATTTTTCTTAGAAATAGTGTTTTGTAACTTATAAGTATAACATAATTTACATACGCTTAATTATTGGTTCATACCAGAACGCGAGGTTTCCAGGAAATGTTCATTTCGTATCAAATTCGAGGAAACAAAACATCGAATAAACTATAGACATTTAAAAATTTTAAATTTTAATCTCAAAAATGTGCTTAAATAAAATATGTATTATTACATTTTTTGAGTTGGAATATACATTGTACAGTATACACATTACACGTTAAAAAACGTATTAGGTACAGTTTTTTGGTCATTTTTCAATTTCTGTACAGTTGATATTTGGGCAATAGACAATTGTACATTTTGGATTGTTACTGCTCGCTCCTAGTATATAATATGTTTATAACTTTATAATATTATGTATTAATAATATGTGCAAACGGTTATGCGAAGTCCGTTAGTGTGCGTACACGTGTTTGTACAGATTTCAATGGCCGGCGGATGTGCAGCGCGTGTTTATCGGACTGGTTGACGTAAATGTAATATCCGATCGATAATATGCCGTATGGAAATATTCGGGAGAAAAAAATTTACGATAACGAAACCGAGACGGGTTTGACGTCCGTATTGCTGTACGGCGGCGTACATAACATTATAATCACATCGTAAGTCATACCAGTGATAATAATTCATGAGAGTCATAATAATATAATACCTATACGAGAATTCCTCGACTGCAGTCCACGTCGGTTGGGCGTACGCAAAATTATCATCATACATAATAATATTATAAATTATACATTTCTGTATAATCTCGCATGAAATAACGAATAAAATACACGCGGGCGGTGGTGCAGGCCCTACTGTATTTTCTAAAGACGACGACGTAGTTTGACCTTACCCAACAGTTTCGGAGGTCATAATTATATTCGAGCCTCTATTATTATTATAATATATTATGTTATGCGTAAAACTGCTTACGACGTCAAGGCGGCACCGAACAGAACTCACAAATAATAATAATAATAATAACGTAATAACAACAAACTACCTATATACTACGCGTTGCCGGTCGTGTCGTACGTTTTATTCGGGTTTACCGTAGAATTACATGCGTGTGTATAAAAACGGATAATACGCGTATTTAGGGTGAAGGTATATTTACAACTTAATGTATTACGTAATAATAATACATTGGACCTCCTGCATAATATTATACAAAAACCGAACTCAGGAGCTCGAATGCAGATATATTACAATATAATGTGCTTACCTATAGGCTATAGTATATACATTATACGTATAATAACATTACAAGAGAAATCAAATCCACAGGTCAGTGCGATCGTGTAATGGTATACCGCGGTCAATCGAAACGGCGTCGGGGTTCATTCAATATAATAATAGTAATATAATGTGTTTAGGCAGTACAGATGAACAATAACAACGCCGAGGGTGGTGGTGGGGGCGTCGTCGGTTGCAGTAGTACGACAATATAACGAGTCGTAACAAAAAAATATTAATGTTGAAATCTTCTGAAACGGCAATAATTACCGTTTCCAGAGATATTATACGGAGACATACATTATTATTATTATTACTATTATTATTATTATTTATTACAGGCATTAGGCATATGAGGTGGTTGTACATTAAGTGGCTTGTGTACCGCCTATATCGGAGAGAAACAACCGAGAGCAGGACTGAAAAAGGGTTACGGTACATCACACCCGAACCTATACCGAGGTAACTCGACCCGCGTAGAAGCACGCGCTTTGCGTATTCGTAGGTATCGGTGTTTATATATTATGTAAGTATTGGGTGGATGTCACGTGTCGGCCGCCAGATCGCATATACCCTCATGTACCGCGACTTTACCCGATAACTGATAAGTGATAATAATAACATTCTATAGGTACTCGCGGTACACATATTTGGGGAGGGCTGCACGACGATATTCGAGGTCGACTGCAAAATCGAAACCTGTGCGAACGTGTTGCAAAACGGTCAGCCAAAACGATGGGTAACAAAACATCCAGCAAAAACACAATATACAGTAATATAATATAAGAAAACGACATCGCAATATCATTCGCGTAGGTACCTCTAAGAATATATATCTATAGAATATAATGTATGAGGAGAAGAAGAAGTACAAAAGAAAAGGATCGAACGCGTTGCACTTACGGTATTGTGCAGGTCCGAACGGGTCCGTGACGATATATACGCATTATTATATACATAAACGACGACGAACGAGGGATGAAAAAAAACCCCTTGTACACACGATATAATATAATAATATGCGTACAACAATAATGATAATATATTAAATCTCGCGGGCGGAGGGAGTTCTGCGGCGGTCACGGGCGAGGGCGTAGCGCGGGGTCGATTCGGGCGCGAGCGCGCAGGTGCAGTTTGTGCGGGCCGCGAGGGTCTCGTCCACAGCGCCGCCGCCGCTCCGTTCGCCATCTGCCGCGTCCTCCGCCATGGGATCGCGAGAATCCGACGTTTCTCACGGTCCCGTCCGTGCGCGTTCGAGACCACTGCACGGCGCCGCATCTGCCAACACCTGCCCCCGTCGCTATGCCCCTATAAAAGAGCCCGCCGCCCGTTCAGCAGGCAACAGTACACCGTCGAACGGCACACCGAGCACATCGCACATCCTTATCACACTATACAGTATCTCGTCAGTGTTATCATCGTCGTCGTGAAAACTACTTCAGTGTCACTATAATATTATTTTTGTTATTATTATAATATCACCGTTCGTTATCATTCGTATACATATTTGCTTCCGGATCCATACAAACAGCGATAAAATGGCTTATCTATCAAACAGCTTCGACTTCGAACACATGCAAAACTCGACCAACTGGGAGGCCGTCCACAAGAAACGGTCTTTCGTCGCCAGAAAGATGCACAAAATCAACAAGGTAAGCGTCGACATTTGAATAAAATACATATTATTATCATAATCTACATAACCGTCAGCATCTGATGTACCCCTTGTGTGCTATATCTTTGCGCCGTTCTTCTACTCAGACCCATCTAACGGAATTTTTTTTTCTTGTTTACAGACTATCAAACCGATACTCAGAGCTTTGTGCCGCCGAAACGCCGTGACCCCGGCCGCCCAACAAGACGGTTCGGCTTTAGACCCACGGGGCCTATCACCCGAAGAACTGGAGAACCTCCAGAACGAGTACATCGAGCGGAAGCTGTCACAGGCGGTCGTGTACGACGAGGACGACTATTACTCGGACACGGTCAGCGTCGAGTCCGGACTGGGCATGTCATTCGAAGAACTCGCCCGACCCGCCGAACGCAGGCAGCTCGTTTCCTTGTTGCCGGAGGCTGGGTACTACATGTCCCGCGATTTCTGGTTCGAATCGGACTCCCGCACCGCCGGCCGACCATCATTCACCAGACAACAGACGCCCCAGAGACAGCAGCCCTGCAGGTACTAATAGTGCATCAAGTTGCTCTCGTCCGTCTCATCCGTCCACCCCCGAAAGTCTTTCGCCATTTGCTCAAAACTCGTTTCTATATATGATACTATACATGTATATAATGTGTGTTTGCGTGCGTGTGTATTTTTATTTTTATTTATTTTTATTTTATATTTTTGCGGTATTTATTATACCGGGATCTCTAAACAGTGTAAACCATTTTTGCCACCTGTAAACGTGTTCGTATAATAATATATTATATATTAATCGCTCTATTGATCATATCGATCAGCGAATATATAATATTTATATATACATATATATTATTAGATTTAAATGTTGTTTATAATATGAAAGATATTTAAATATTTTATCGGCTTGCGATTCTTTATTGATTATCATTATAATATATTGAATTTTTTTTTATATATACTTAAGACTTTTAACAAATATATTTTTTATTTTTATTTTTAAAAAAATATTTGTACAATAACGTATTACGAATTTGTATGTATATAAAACGCTGTCGTATGCATTATTATATTTGTGATAAATAATTGTTTTTTTCAACAGCGATTCTGTGATTCAATTTTAATAGCTGCGGTTATCTACAACTAACTGTGGTTGTTGACTGATAATGTTTATATTATATTATATTGTGTTCCTTTGTTATAAATAAAATTGAAAAAAATCAATTGATTTTAAACACGTTGTTGTCTATATTGTAGATATTACCGGCTTCCAAGCCACGGGTCACTCCTATCCCAGTTCATATTTTTCTGTATTATTATTGATGAGTTAACTATATATACAGATATTGAGGTATATTCAATAGGTATTAGGTACCCGACTACTTGAGTACATAATATATATTATTATATAGTGGTAATGTGTAATGTATACATAAAACGTATATACCATACGCATCATACAGTATACACATATAGGTGATTAATGATTATAGATAGCTGTTAGTTACATGCGCAGTGCAGGAGGACATCGTTAAAACCGGATCAGAATATTATTTGACTATCATTACCGCGTTTGTGTTCGTCGAATATTTTAATGAGTGTACAGTGACGCGTGCAGTCGTTTGGTATAGAAACTCGTGTGGGTATATCATATTATTATTATTATAAATTATAATGTCAACCAGTCACTGTACCTACAGGGTATAATACACATGTATAAGCCGTAAAATACTGGCAAGTATAAAATAAAATATTATTATGCGTTACAACACGGTTTACACGCGCCGCACGTCGTATGTACCTTACGATATCGTGATGTTTTTTTTTTTATATAGTTTTCTCTCGTAGTAGGTGACAAAAACGCGTCCACGCGATTCGACGACCAGACAGTATAGTATTATTATATTGTTTATCATTAACCACGGTTATCACCACCGTTCCGAATCGCCCTCAGAGGTTAAACGCTGTTGTCAAAATTGCATTTCGCTATTGGACGTATACTGTTCCGGTTAAAACACGCGCGTCGATACCTGATACGAAAACAAACATTCCGCAGTCGCGCAAGTCTAGACGTCGCAGTGTCTAGATTAGGCAATAATTTGGCTAGACAATCGCCTATATACACTACCTACGACTATGGCGTTTTTATTTTATAATATTTTACATAATACATAATTGCGATATAATAATTTGTACGATCGATATTTGCCAACACAAACTGCCATGTGCGTCCGACATTCGTGGCGACAGTATTCGATAACAGTCGGTCAGGGGGCGTTTGAAAAATTAATGTTATTATTGTCATCGAGAATAATTAACTAAGCATCAAATTTTTTAGGTTGAAATAATATGCGAAAAATCGTCGTCGATGTTGTACTGCAGTATAGAATACTTTATAATAATTATTTAGTATTGTTATTATTATAATATTATACAAACGCTGTAAATAAAATTATACATACGACGTCATTCCGGCGGACTCCGATAACAATGTAAAATAGATTTCAGAGGTATCGCTAAAATTATTGTCGTGTTAACATAAACATTTGAATAATTTTGCAAACAACCGAATTCGTGGTGTACGTTGATAAATAAATAAAAGACGGATGTGTAGGTAATATTATCATGCTATTTCAGCGGTGGTTGATGGTCAAGGGGGCAGGGGAAGGGTAAATTCAGGATATGAACCTTATGAGGTGTTATTCACCTCCTCGGTATGATGTTTTTTTTTATACAACATTCAAAACGCCTCATGGCTCATGCGCATACATGTTAGAAATAAATACTTGCAATAATAATTATTAATTAGTCACCTAATTAAATCACTTTTTTTAAAATTATTGTTTGGATTAAAATAAAAATCACGATATTTAAATATTTAATGTATTTATAAGGCGAAAGGGAAATGTAAGCTAATGATATTTGGAGTATTAATGTAAGACACTGTATTGACGTATTGTTAAATAGTGACGTTGATGAAACATTTAGACATTTATAAACAATATATCATTATCATTCGACGATATATTATATAATCATAAGTCATAAAACTTTAAATAACCTTAAAGACAATTTTATTCATTCACAGATTAAACTAGAGAAAAAAATCCTTATACATTTGGCCCATAATTCACCAAAACTGCAGATAATATCAATAAAAAAGTAATTTATTCATAATTTACACTATGAATATTGTAATCTATAAAATATAATCCGAATGAAAAAGCAGAGCTCGACGCTCGTATGGGAGAGGGGTGAATCAACGAAATCCACCATGTTACCGCCAGTGTGATATTTCGTCATATGAACGTTTATCGCGTGGATTTAATTTAAATGTTGAGTGTCTATATACTATATTATTATTATTAATTGTTATATAATATTTCGTTCGTTGTATAGTCGACGCTATAGTTGACATACCTACTTATAACATATAGTATTAATAATAAATATAATATTTATATATTATTATGACCAGTTGGAGTGACCAGAACGTAAAAATCTACATCATATACATAAAATATCAACAAGTATAGGTCATAGTGTCATTGGATTTGTGTTCACTATTTATTGAGAAGTGTGAAAAACTGAAAAACATAAAATGTAATCATTTTATTTTTGAAACTCTATGTTTTATGAACATTGTTTTCAATCATTAAAAACTCAAAATTTCCAAAATATCCTTACTAAGATTTAATATAATAGGTACTGTTCAATATAATATTGTACAATTAATTATTATGTATATATTTTCGATAACTCCAAATGGGGCCAAATCCAATACTGCAATAATTATAATTCTCGTATAGATCGTCTTATTCAAAAATATGTCAAAAAGTCTTCGATAACTCGTTCGCATCAAAACACGGCCAGTGAGTTAGGAATCTAAAACTTGTGCCCAATCAATCGATATAGGTTATATATATGTATAGATATTATGTGTTCAGTGTGTGCTGAAGCCATATAGACTCTTAACATGATATTATTATTATCGTACAAACATAAATATACAGATGTGCAAATAATATAGTAAATAATAAACCTAATTCATGAACTTAATTTATAAACTATATAATATGGTGTTTTGATAATAATACATCGTCTACCCTCTATCCAATGTTAATACATTTGTTTGATTAAAATATTCTACAATAAACTTATTTATATTGAAATCATATCGAATATATTATAATATTAACAATATCTGCAATATCATTGTATTATGTATATTGCTTATACGTCAATATGTTAATAGATAATAAACGTAAAACCAAAAACTGCGAGTGGGCTTAAATAGCGGCAACAAATGTTATACGTCCGTTATTATAATATTATTCCTTTTTTTAAAAAATAATTTGGTCTCTTATTGCATTCGAAATACTCGGAATGTCGGGATGTTATCTTCGTTTTATACTTTGTTTCATAAAATAGTTTTAAAAAAAAAACACGCAGTCGACCGGAGTATAGTGACGATAATAATACGTATAACAACAGCAGCTATATTCTATATGTGTCAAGGTATCGCCGTCAATGAAATTCGGGCAGGAAACCTTTCGGCGAATTTCACGACTGTAAAAAAAAAAACATCGGTTGTCCTTGACTATCAAAGAAAACACGCGCGTAATGTAATTTCGGGCCCGAAAATCTAAAATCGTGTTTCACCATTATAATATATTTTACTCGGACGGGGAAAAAAAAAGGTAAGATTTGGAATAAATTATCAGTTTTTTCACTGTGCACCTACATATACCTTTTACTTTATATCAGCGGCTTATAATTATTATTTTAAAACCAGAGTACATAAACACCACGCGTGTACTACGGTGCGGTACACATTATGTATATTATATAATAATATATACGCGACGATCACGGCGGCGGCGTCTATTTAATCGTTCGCGTTCAGTTTTCGTTCCGGCACATTTGGCGTCGGCTGTCGAGCAGAAAATATAAAAAAATCGCCGGCGGCCAACCCGTGCGGGTTTCTGTGGCGGCCGAACGGATAAAATCAAACCTATTGTCTCCTCGCGGGTCTCTCAATACACCCGTGCACAATGTCGACATCTATTACCTTTAAGTAAAATAATATAGTAATAGTATATAATTTATTATTATGCTCTGCAGTGATTGTATTATATGGTACACCTATAAAAATGTGTTGAATTATATTATAACATTATAGACGAGACGGAAAAGGAAGATTTGCGCGTGATCTCTAAAATATGTACTTATAAATACCCATAATACTGGCTACTATATATTGTACTATTTATACTATATTATATTGAAGTCACGGAGACCCGACAAGTTAAAGGTGAAATACGAATATTCAATTTACGATTTCGAGCGCCAATCAAACAATCCACAATTTTTTTTTGAAAATGCAAATATTTTTTTCGAGATTTACAATTCTTGTTTTTCCTATAGGTACAAGCCGTACACTACACATGAATAGTGATAGAACTTAAAGGTCATGAATAGTAATTTATTTGTATTTTTTCCACATGAATATGATGCGTTGTATTACATAATATGGTGTAAATTACATATATACTATATAGGTAGGTACTATACAGTATACTGCACAGTACATAGTATATAAAGTATTTATATATACATATTATCGTAGTAACTATTTATTTAATATACATACAATATACTATATAACTATATGCGGCTTTAGACATTTTACCACAAAAAAGTAGTTCTACAACCGGTAAATTTAATGATATTTCTTTATATTACCTATGTACAATTTTTTTTCTTAACACCGGTTATCGGAAATGAGAACTGTGAATTTACTTTTTTTCAGTTGATGCGCTACATGTTAAAATGGTATATTATCTATTCCATGGCACTAACGATCTATCGGCTATCCGTACATAAAACAGTTTGATACCTATTAAAATACGACAATATAACGACTTGTAATTACGTATACTATCGAACTTACCTATGGGTTTTCTAATCAACTTATATAATAACTTAACTATTAGTAAATTACTAGTATATTCTATCGGAAATGTGTAGTATGCCTAAACCCCAGACTGAATATATGTGTGAATGAGTGACCATAGTAAAGGAACAGTAGCAACTAACAAGGATGTTTTTTTTTTAACAAAATATAAAGTTAAAAAAAAACAAATTAAATTTTGCTTAGCAGTCATGATGATTACTCTATAATAATATTATGTGACCCAGATGATGATTAAAAAAAAAAATTAATCGCCTTGTTTTGAAACGAGTCCCAGGTTAATATTATGTTCTTCATCTCCGTGCTTATAAATATAGACTTAAAACTTTTCGAGCTGTATTATATTATATTTATATTGTTTTATTAAGGTTCTTAACGTACTGACTCGTGTCTTGTAGAACATAACCGACTATATATTATACACTAGAGTTAATCCACCTATGCACATCCTGATAAAATATATCAATCACAAAATTCATAATATATTAGGTAGGTAGTGCATAATAGTTGTTGCCACTGCATATCGCGGGTCCCGACGACGTGTAGGCGATATTCTACCGGTAGGAAAAATCGAGAACGTGCGCCGAGCGGACAAAAAAATCCGAGAAAATAAAGTCGCGGGGGGGATCGACGCGGGCACGCGTGCCCTCGGGGGCGCTATGATAATCATTATCGTAACGTATACACAGCACAACAACAATAAACACACACGCACGCGATTTATATACATATATATATATCCATATTGAGTAACGGAGCAACGGATGAGGGACAGAGATACGCTCGGATAATACAGAGAAAGAGACACAGGTAGGTATGGACAGAAAAGAGAGACAGAGGTAGAAAGAGAACGAGAGACGGAGAGAGAGAAAGAGAGAGTGAGAGAGAAAGGGTGGAGGAGAAATCACGAAGAAAATAATAACACACAACATTATGTATATGTGGTGTGCGGTGTGCCGCCGGCTCGTCGTCGTCGTCGTCGTCGTCGTCGTGATCTCAGTGAAGGGAGGCGGCGGCGAGAAGAGAGAAACGGCTGCTGTCGGTGTGTGTGTGTGTGTGTGTGTGTGTGTGTGTGTGTGTGTGTGTGTGTGTGTGTGCTCCTGCTGTTGCTGCTGCTGCTGCTCGTTGCTTCTGGTCGGCGGCGGCAGCGTGGGAAACGTTTTCGGAAAGAGAACCGGTGCCCCGTGCCGTCGTCGTGTAGTCGTTACCGTGGGAATGCAGCGGGCTCCTTATAATAATCGTACACCTTCCCGCCACCCCACCCGGACCGCACGGCCAGACCGACCGCGCGCGCGCGCGCGCGCAATCTCCTTCGCATAATATTATATTATATACATTATATTATTATTATTATTATTATTATTATTATTGTGTGTGTGTGCCAGATGTGCACGTACCTATATTACGGTGTATACACGTTAAGCGCGTGTGTGTGTGCTCACACGAGTGAGACGAAGACAAGAGTTGTTTTTTTTGTTCAGCGCACGTACCGCGCGTGTATAATATATTACGGCGTGCGTGTGTGTGCGATGTGTGTATACAACAAGCGCGTGCGAGACCGGCTAAGATTCACACGACCCGACGACGCCGACGGTCCTTTTAAGCCTTTTCACTTTTTTTTTTCTCCGCTACACATATTATATTATATTATTATATTATCATATTATATAGGCTTTTCTTATTCCTCTTTCTTCCTCCTACAGGTATATATATATATTCATTTTTATTCCGTTCTTTATTTCGATTGTTTGCACATACATATACATATACTATGCGTGTGCGAGCGCGTGTAGGCACTGTGCAATAACAACCCGCAAGTCTTGGTTCCACGAGCCGAAAACACTATATAGTATTACGCATCCTGCACGCGGATTTCTTTATTTATACCTGCAGTTTATTGCACTCATGCTGCAGCTGTGTTATGCGTTTCCGACAAAACTACGTTCTAATCGATTACACTGTAATACAATGGTGCTAATTAGACACCATAATTATGTATTATATGGACGAGAAACAACAGTTTTCGATCGTATCTCTACTAGCTTCTCTATAAGCATACCATATATAGGAGGGTCATGTTTTTCGTACTACTCGGATTTACTACAGTTCTGCACAAGGACGTGGGGGAGCTTCTCCCTTTTTATTTACATAAAAATGACCATACACGTGTTTTTAACCTATAGCCTTGCTCACATTTTTAAATAATTGAAATTATACGTATACATCGTTGTTAGAATTAATTACCGGGTAGCGTAGTGGTCTCAACCATAAGTCCATGCAACTAATAAATTACTGTCTTCTATCACGGCCATCGAATAAACTTTTAAATATATGATCAAATATTATTTATGTTATTGAATTATCATATTTTTGTTATTTATTAAAATTATATGAATATTGTCTGGCACAAATAAATTAGTCATTACACACTATACTATAAATCCATTACAAACTTCGAATATTACTCGCATATGTTTTATTCTAGAAAATTACTATTCGCCGATGATATGAAATTGTTCCGTCTCATAAAAAACAGTAATGATACATCTTTATTACAAGATGATTTAAGTTTTTTAGCTAATTGGTGTGATATTAATAAATTACCTTTAAACTTCGAAAAGTGCAAAGTTATGTCATTCACGCGATCTCGTAATCCAATTACTCACACTTATAGTTTACGTAACCACCATTTACATCGTGTAAATGAATTTTGTGATCTTGGTGTCATATTCGAATCTGATTTAACCTTTAATCACCACATTCAACATATTATCAATAATTCATCTTCGATATTAGGCTTTATTACAAGAAACTGTAAAGACTTCAATAACCATAACACATTAAAAATTCTATTTATGTCCTTAGTTAGATCTAAGCTTGAATATAATTCAACAGTTTGGTCTCCTTATTTAAACACGCAAATTCAATGCATTGAGAATGTCCAAAATCGCTTTCTCCGTTTTATGTCCTATAAATGTAATATTATACGTGTACCTCACTCATCTTATCAACCTTTGTTGAACACATTTAACATCCAGAGCTTAGCAAACAGAAGAAAGGTAAATGATCTATTATTTTTGTTCAAACTACTTAACGGGTTTTTCTACTGTCCGGAGCTATTAAGTTTTTTAAATTTTTCTGTTCCTCAAGTCAGAACTAGATCATCAATCATAACTACTTTTTATATAAATAATCACAAAACTAATTATGCGTTATCCGCTCCTATAAATAGAATGATGGCTATCGCTAATGATGAACAAATTGATTTTTTTAATTTCTGTCCAAATTCTGTCGATTTTTTCAATAGTTTTGTAAGAAAAAAAAGTTATTAAATTTAATTCTGTTATTAATTTTACTACTGTATTGAGTTTTCGTATTTTTGAGTATTTTCTCCAATTGTTATTTTTATTATATTTCTGTGTTTTTTGTATTATTAGAATATTAAGTATTTTAGCTATTCATTAGGTAATTTATTTTTTCAAATGTTATTTATCAAATGTTATACCATACCTATATGTATTATGTACTAAATTTCAATCTTTTTTGTAATTGGGTTATTACCCGTAAATAAATAAATAAATAAATAAATAAATAAATAAATATAAATAAGTCCAACAATATAATCATACGCTATTTTTAACATAACGCTTTATGCGAAACGTCGATTGAGGTGGGGGTGGGGGGGGACGTTGAGATACACGATATTTTGTACTCGTATATTTATTAGAAACCGGACTGCCCTCTCATTCTGCAGAATCGTTTTTCTTTTCAAATACCTACGATTATATTTTATTTTCACCGCTGACGCTTTCGGATTTAATATCACTGCGGAAAACCGCACTATAGCCCAATATGCTAGCCAGAAAACGCAATCGCGAGACGAGCCCCAGCGAATTGGTATTCTCGTCTGCGGCGACTGCACTCGACAATCGCTCGGTATATTATTATAATATATTATGTGTGCGCGCATAACGTCCTGTCTGGCTACTTTTTTTTTGGCCGTCGCCGCACGACAACGGACGCGAATCGGTGAAAACTACCACGGCGGCACGGTCGCTAATTATGATAATATTATACTATATTCAGCGACGCGTGTATCTCGTTAAAATATTATTACCGATTATATTTCACGACGTGCAAACGCTATCGGAACGCCGTTCGCCGCCAAATAATATATCTAGTTTCGTGACTATACAAACGCGTTGTTCTCGTCGCATTATCTATTATTTAGTAATATTATATGGGGTATGTGCGCGTCATGTACCTTAGTACCTATTATATGTATATAATATAATATTTTAACTGGGTCACGGTCGACGATATAATGTTATAGTGTCCGAGCCCCGAGCTGACCGCAAGACCGCGGAAAAAGGAATTACACGCATCGTTGACATTTTTATAACACAGTAACTTACATATCATATACCACAAAATGTTTGCATATATGTTATCGAATACATATCTAAGTCAATGGCGTAGATAGGATTTTGCTTTTTTTGGAGGGGGCTGATGATTTGTTATACATGGGAGGCTTAAGTTAAGCCTCTGAATTAGGATCAAATATAATTTCGGTGTATGCTGATGCCATATGATGGGTATACAACAATAAGACATTAACAACTTATAACATTTAAGGGTTTTGCAGTAACCTTCAGTGGCGTACACAGATATTCCCAACTCAAGGAGTTATATAAAAAAATTATATTATGGAAAAAATTACCAAAAGGGGGAGGCGTAAATAAACTCTGTGCATACGCCCATATACATTTAGAATAAGTACATGGTAAATGGTTATGTCTTACGTTTTGACGTTAAATATGATCACACATCACTAGGAAACTTTTTAATCTTTGCTGAAATTTCAGGGAGGGCTGCAATCCCCCCAGTCTTCCCCCGCAGATTACACCACTAAGTTATTTAAGCGTTACGAATGTATAGTTATATAAATACTATAAGGTTTACGCCAGCAGTTCTCAGCGATTGCGATTCATTTAACTATATGACGTGAACGATATATTAATAGTACTTGCGAGTCTCTCGTCGAACGTAAATACAATATAATCAATCACATTATTATTGTTATTTGTTGTATAGAACACTACGATAGGTACAGTAGTCGATTATTATTGTTATATACCTTTGGGCAAAACTACACACAAAACTAGTTGGTGTATCGCATATGTATGCCTATATATAATATTGTATGTATGGTAATAAATAATATAATAATAATAACAGTGAAAACTCAATATTTCGATCATCGTACAGATTCGAAAGTTTTATTTGTTTTCAAACTGTAAGACAGTATACAGACACCACATTATTATTATATAAGAAAAATTAACAATGTTTTCGAGGGCATCGCTTTTTTATATAGGTACCTATACTGTTCAAATGTTGACTCTCGGCTATCTTTTTATTATGCCAATATATTATTATTTATTAGTTTATTACTAACAAAATATTATAGGCGCTGTTAAATATATAACTCATCAGATCTATACAATAAATATTATACACTGCAGGATATTATTATTGATTATCAGTGATGAGTATTAAGTATAGATTTCCTGAAAAAAAATGAATATCGATTAGATTGTGTAAACGTCAAATATATATATATGTATAAAAAGAAGCGTAGGTATGTCAATGTTATACTAAATAATATAAAAAATGATTTGCCAGTCACGACTATTTTATAATCTATATTGATTATATTATATATTCATTTAAATGATAAATATTAATTTATATTTATTTTACATATAATATCATTGTTCATCAAAAAATGTTAAAGAGAAGCTTTGTTTCTGCAGAAATTTTTATTTTTCGTTATTCTGTAAATCCTGTGAACACCCACGAAACGTGCAAAATAAAACGCCCACCATGGATATGTGCAAACTGTATATAAATTGTGCTTCAACGATAGTCCGTTAGTATAATGAGCAACATAGGAAAATTCCACTACTTAAAATCGAAATAATGGCGTTTATGTTCTTTGCAAGAGCTTAAACACTAAACACCAATTATATTATATCAAATTTGAAGAGGAGATTATTTTCTAGATAATGTCACATCCTTGTCATAAAATATTGCTTAACGTAAGTATATACCGTATAGATAAGTTACAGAGTTTTACGTTTATCTTCATAATATAATGTATATGCTATTATGACTGTATACGGAAAAGGATATTATGACTTTATCTCGAATACATTAGGTTATTATCGGATACGATCACCTACACGATTCATAAGTACGAAATTTCTGGTTCTGATATTGTGCACAGCGATAATGGTGTATGATTGACCTCGATTTTATTTTTAATCATAATATATTTGATCTAGGAGAGTATATTGAATGATGGTAAGTCGTATAGAGCTTTTAAGGTTCTTAGATTAACTTTGAGATTGGCAAGAAAAATTTGAAGCAGGAATCGGCTCCCAATATCTCTATTCTCTATAATATATTATAATCTATATTGTCCAATATCCATCCTATTTTTGAATATGTGTCCGTCGTATGAGAAATATACTCAAAAATCTATAGCTCAAGAATTCGGCCATGAACACGTTCACGTACATTTTTACTCATACCAAATGTCTAAATATTTACCATTCACTCTAGTACTCTACAGCTATAATATATTATGATCCAGTCGCTGCGAGAGACTTATACGATTGATTCATTAGTCGAACGTAAAAGTGTTAAGTTTTTAAATAATTTGTTATCTGCAGAGGGTAAATTAGAACTATGCCTAAAGTGCTTTAATTTCTCGCATTAATTTCTGCAAAAGTTGCCGGGTGTCGCACTTCAAATAATTTGGAAAAATGAGCCAGCTAGACGTCCATACAGCTGCAGATGATCGCAAGATTGTTAACATTGGACCATCAACTGTTTCGCCGTCTAATTGTTCATTTTACCGAGTAATTATATTTTTTCTAGGGGCCGTTCCCGTTATTATGATATACAATAATAATAATATCATGGTTGAAATAAAAAATAAAACACTGCCGTCTTCGAATATGTGGCAGTATTACGGGTGCGGCGTGTTAAAAAACGCTACGCTCCGCACAAGACGTCGGTTATTTTGATACACGAAGCTGTACACGTATAGAGCACAACGTTTTAAATTATAATATAACTTCAACCGATCGTATAAATAATAATTATACTGATCGAGCACAATAATGCAGTCGACACACACACACACACACACACACACACACACACACACACACACACACACACACACACACACACACAGTCGTCTTGTCGTCATCGCACGCGCGCCAGCGAAAACGTCGTGATAAGAACGAAATTATTGTCGCGGCCGGTTCGGAAGTACGGAGGAGTGCCGCGGAGGCGGTGCGCGACTCGTCGCTGGCGATGAGCGCGGGGCGAGGCACTCGCGTCGAGTGTCCGTTGACGTCAAAACGGCCGCCGGAACCCGAGTACCGGAGCGTGCTGGACACGTGCAGGGCGCGCGTGAAGCAACAAGTATCTCTTTACGTCATACTTACGCCGCCGTCGAGTGGTCCTCGGTATATTATATACATATATATATATATATATTATGTTTATATATCATATTATATGCGAATCATTAAATCATTATTATTGTACTGTCGCGAAGAGTGCGCATATTAACGGCCGTGCACATAATGGTAATGCATTATATTATGTAGCCGCAGATCCTGCACGGCTTTCCCCGTGACAAATTCAATGATTCCAGTTGGTTTTACTCCGCCCCGTGCTCAGTTAAATGCGTATAAGCTGGCTTTCAATGTCTGCACAGGTTTTTGGAACTCCATTTTTTTGAGTTGTTTTACGAGTAAAACACAAAATAATATCCAATAAAAATAACTTTTTTTATTTTCTATACCTATAGCCAATATCTGACAACAATAAATATATAAAAAAAAAATTATGGCTTTTTCGTGAGTCAACTATACACACAAAATATATGTGTTAAAAAGTAAAAAGTAAGTATACTTAATAAAAAGTTGCTTAAGACACTACAGATCTTGTCGAATTTATTGATAAGAATGTTATGAATATCGGTTGATTTTCATGAGGCTCATGCGATTTAGATTTTAGTCCTTTGATTTTAAAATAAAGTACCTAGATATATTTATTAATTAAAACTGATCCAGCAGCATGGCGTCGCCCGTGACAATTTAAATAATGCCAATGGATCTACGCTGTCTTAAACTCCATTACATGTAAAATACACATATTTTTAACAGTGTCTTCGTGGTTCTAACCAAGTATAAAAAAACTCAAAATTTGTATCCAATTTTATGATTGAATTTTCCGCTACCAATGGCAAC